CTAACATGCTGGGAGCAAGGGGCTAGTAACCCCTTCTCCGGGTATGTTGAAAAAAAAAATTCGTACATTACTTAATACTACATTGTAGTATAAATACCTACCCAAAACAATACTGTCTACACCCAATTGTAGCAGTCTCATACTTTAAACTACTTTCAGCAATTTAAATATTTACTACTGATATACAAAACCTACAAAATACTTTCAACTTGTACCAATGTAATATCCCCAGATTGTAACTTGAGTAAAATTATTGTCTGCTATAAATAAAAACAGATGTACAACTAAACTGTGATCAATTTCTCTAGTATTAAGCATGGACCCCTCACTTCAAAGCCACAGTATTATGACAGACCCTGAAAGACATGATACTCTAGTTTTTAGTTCTGTAATATCTGTACCTTCTAGGAGATCTGGTCAGAGACCATGATGCAGAACATTAATCTCTAGAATGATTAGCTGATATATGACAGCTTATACACAAATACCCACACATAGGAGAATGAAACCTAAAGGCAGAAGATGCAACACAAACGTATGCAAAATTTGTTTTGAACACAGAATTATAGCAAAAAGAAATGAACCACTGGCTCAGGTTATAAGAATAAATACAATAGTCACTTGGACCATTAACTAGACACAGTTAATGGTCCAAGTTGGACCAAAACATCGTAAGTTTTATTCTTGTACGTGCAAGTATTTGTGTAGTGTTCCTGATATGGTATTGTGCCTTTGTATTCTTTATATGACAGCTTAAATGGATAAATGTCAGATATAACAGACAGCAATAAAGTCATTAAGTTTTCCTCCAGGTCCAAGTGGCATCTATCCTTGCAGCAGCGGACTGAGAATAATGTATCTGAGTGGGATGCAGGCGGACAACAACAAGAAGACTGCTTCCACCTTCATTTTCGATGACATCACATCGCTGGAGACTCAGGCTACCAGCAATCCTGCCATAGACATCCTCATCACCAGTCAATGGCCTAATGCTGTCTGCAACTTTGCTAAGAAACCTGTGAGTGAATGGTTGAAAGTTACAGAGTGATAACAACGTTCTTGGGAGCAGGACATGGGAACAGTTCAAGGCTTTTATTCAATGAAATATTACACCATGGGACTCCATGGGGAAGTCAGCATCAAAGATTTATTTCCACATGATACAATGTTTGTACAAATATGGGTGACATTTGGTCGTGCATGCAGAAAGCCCATAGTCATGCAGGAATTGATACATTCACTAACCTGAATTCTGGCCATGGCCTGGTCACAGACCGGGCCGCGGGGGCGTTGACCCCGGAACTCTCTCCAGGTAAACTCCAGGTATAAGTGCTATTTTTCCTTTGTGCATTAGTACATTTCTCTACACTGAACCTCCCCACTTATTTTATGTGGGATTTTTACAAGGTTAGGTTTAGGGTTCCTAATTTTATTTATAAGCCTAAGTGACATGTTGTTGGTAAATGGCTCTTGATCTGAGGAATTTGAGCTACCCTGCCCTTCCTCAGATCAAATCTGAATACCTCCCTGCCATACCTCTCTTACCCCAGTCACTGTACCATACAGGTTTACATCTTTCCCATGACTATCATAATATTGTGAGCTGAACTTGTTGGTGATAAGTATTCTATTTCTTAAAAATTTGATAAAATGATCATTATCATCATTATATTTCATCAGTACAGGAGTTTCATTATAGGATTAAAATGTATTTTAGTATAGAATTATTGTAGTTATATTTCCTATAGCATATGATGATTGTCATAATTATATTTCATAAATATATATTTACCATTATATTTTGTACAGTATGTGATGATTGACATCATTTATACTTCACTATTTTTCACTATATAGGATGGTGAGTTCTTCCTCTATAAAAAAAATGGGTACATACTGCAGATTTCATTTCCTTGATTATTATACAGCAATACCACACAGACAGGTCCCACTTATACAGCAATACCACACAGTCAGGTCCCACTTATACAGCAATACCACACAGACAGGTCCCACTTATACAGCAATACCACACAGTCAGGTCCCACTTATACAGCAGTACCACACAGTCAGGTTCCACTTACACAGCAATACCACACAGACAGGTCCCACTTATACAGCAATACCACACAGTCAGGTCCCACTTATACAGCAATACCACACAGACAGGTCCCACTTATACAGCAATACCACACAGTCAGGTCCCACTTATACAGCAATACCACACAGACAGGTCCCACTTATACAGCAATACCACACAGTCAGGTCCCACTTTATACAGCAATACACACAGTCAGGTCCACTTATACAGCAATACCACACAGACAGGTCCCACTTATACAGCGATACCACACAGTCAGGTTCCACTTATACAGCAATACCACACAGTCAGGTCCCACTTATACAGCAATACCACACAGTCAGGTCCCACTTATACAGCAGGTTAGGACCAAGCTCGTTGTAAGCAAATATTGCTGTAAATATACAATAGCCTTTTTTT